AAAAAAAATTATATGTTTATTCAGAGAAAGTACGTTTTTGTGTCTGATTTCGTAACTTAATTAATAGTTAGCACTAATTAATTAACATATTTGAGGTCACCCCCAGGAACCATTAAGATTGACACTTAGTTCGTGAAAATCCGATCATTAGAACGAAAGTTTTTTTTGCGGACTGTACATGTAAATTTAACTGTAAATGTAAATATAAAATGCATCAAATTTAAATATATCTTAATAATTAAACAGTGTGATTTTTATTACATAATTTAAGAATATGAACAATGTATGATAATTGTGAAAATACAAATGGCTAGAGTAAAATGAGAGATGACTAGAGATAATAAAATTAACTCATTTCTGAAAGGATTCGCGTGCAGGTCGTTGGGCTACCGAAGCGGGGGTGCCATCCCCTCTGCAGAGGATCAAAATTGTGATGGCATGTCTTCGGCTCATCCTCAGGGATGTTTCCCAGACCGTCGCCAATAGCCCATTGTGCAGCTCTAGTGCGACGTAAATGAACTACAACAACTACAACAACAGCATTTCTGAAAGGATGGGGAAAAAATAGGAATTCATTTATAATTTAAAACAAACACTTAAAAATGCTTTATTTTAAATTTTAAACAATATAACATAAATAAAAAATTTTAAAGAAAAGTAAAAATTCAGAAAACTCGTTGTATTAAAAAAAAAAAAAAGTTTAGCTACTCAAGGATTACTTAATTGAAATATTCATTCAAAAAAAAATAAACTGGATACAAAATATACTTTGGAGTTAAGAGGGAGGAAAAGGGATGCAGCCGAATTCGATGATATAATTTTATTTAGTATTTCTGTATGACTAAGTAAATAATGCGTGGTATGACATTAGAAAACTATTGTTCACAACGATACCGAGAATTAAGTAAAATGTATCGCCGAATTATACTACCATCCAAATCTTCCCTTTGCTTATTCCAAACGACGCAAGATAATAACAGAAAATGTAAAAACTAAAATAATATAACATCAAATCCAATGCAAAATAGTATTACAACGAACATAATAGATAATAGTTGTTTATAAAGAAAAACGCTTCATAGAAAACATCGACCTTTCGTATGTTTCTAATGTTCGAAAGTTATGCAAAATAACGTTAGATTTTTCTGGTTTTCGGATGTTTCCTATAATAAGGTGCTACTTGGGTTTAAGTTTCATCCGGTTATCAATGAATTTGATCACACCTTTTCACTGGTGATTTTTTGGAATTTTACGTTTTTTTATTCATTGAAATTGTGACCATTCTTAAGTATTATATTTTGTCTCCATTTTCTATGTATATTTAGATAAGCTTATTATTTAGAGTGATTATTACAAAGCACCATGCATGTGTTGTTAAATGTAGCATTTTTTGTTATTTTTTTTAGCTTTAATTATATTAACTTTTTTGTAATTTAATAAAATAACCTATTTTTTACCACCACTATTCCTGAAAATAACTAATAAAAAATATTCGTATGCATTAATATGGCGTTTATTGGTTTCAAAATCTAGTTTAAAAAATATGATTGAACCCTCTATCATTTTTCAATAATAACTTTTAATTTAAAACCAAAAGTGGGTATAAATAATTTTCATATGTGAAAATGATCACGATTTATAACACTCTCACAATGTATTTTTAGATAACTACTAAGCTATTTAATAATTTTTTTAATTATTTTTATTTCATTAAATTTAAGGAAAAAAAAACGAATTTTAAGTTTCAATTACTTATAAATCATAATTAAAGAACTTACGTTTTATTTTATTTTGAATATTTACTCAATTTCAAATACAAAATTTTAGAAAAACTACATTTTATTTCAAATTCAACGCATAATTATTTTTTCGTGTGAGCAAATATTTAAAATTATAAAAATCTAACTTTACAAAATACACTAAACTGTTCGTAATATCCCCACTAGAGGGCAATAGTATCGTTTGTTTACAATGCGATATGAGCATGCGTGCCAAATGCATGTTTTACTTATTACAAAAAATATGGTACAGAGTGACCAAAAAAACAAGCATTTGAAATCAAAATCGATTATACTGCCTGTTGCTCTCTCTGGAATTTAATTTCTGAAGCAAAATATTATTGATGGATAGATTGTTGTGGTAAAATTAATAAGTTTTAACTTTGTTTGATATAAACTTATCAATTTGATGCTTTGTTTCGTTTAAGATGGTTTATTTTTAATTGTGCAGTTTCTGCGGTCATAATTATTCATTTTAAATGTGAAATTTTTCATTTAACTGTTTTAATTTTGCTTTGATTTCTTACAGTAATTACACTTTTTCGCTAGGTACTCACAGTAATTAACGTACGAAGAACATTAATCAGAATGTTAATCATGTTTTTCAAATTTGTCTTATTTTTAATGCTTCAAATTATTGCTAATTATTGATTGCAAGAAATAATTATTGTATTAAGTAGACAAATATTTAAAAGGCAATTCTTTTTTAGAATAAATTTACTCCAGGGAAGTTTTTAGGGGCAGGTGAATGAGAAAATTGCGTAAAATGCATTCCACTTGGTTTAGATTAGGTTGGTTTCACACGAGGATCGTGTAAAATTGTTTTTTTTCGTGCATAAATGAAATTATATAACAGCAATTGGTATATCATTTGCGTGTGATTTATAACATCTTTTACAGAGTTTTTTGTTTCAAAAAACAGTGAGATAGCCATGTCCTTTTTGTTACAAGTGACCTCATTACTTATTTCATAATTTGAGGCAATTATACCTAAACATGTAGAGATTATGCTTATTAAATCAGGTTAGTGTAATTTAGATGTGCATATGCTTTTCAAAAGTATGATTTTATTTAATTTTGTAGAAATTATGTTTATGTTTTTTTTTTTTTAAATAATTTTGTGAAACTCAAATGTGCAGAAATCATGTTTTTGTAAAACAGTTTAGTAACATTTAAATGTGTAGAAACTATGCTTCATAATCATTGGCCAGACATCCCAGTGTGTGCCAATGCCTTCCTCTAAAGATTTCTCCATAACAACTTACCGATTTATCTTTGATCTCAATTCTTTTCATTAATTGCAAGAAAATTAGACTCCACCGAGTCAGCCCATCTCCCCCGCTCTCTTGTTCCAGTGGGTCTAAAAAGCAGTATCTCTTTTAATGTATTGTCATCACTCATTCGAATCAAATGTACCATCCAGTTCATTCTATTTATATTTATGTATTTAATAATATCGGGTTGTTTATAAATCTTGTACAGTTCAAAGTTAAATCTCCTTCTCCAGTTATCGTTTTCATTTACACCACCAAGCATGGACTGCAAAAGTCCATGCTTGGTGGACTTTTCTCCAGTTTTGTCATTGTCCAAGCTTCAGAAGCGTATGTCAAGACTGGCCTGACAAGAGTTTTGTAGATTAAGAACTTTGTTTTTCTTGAAAGGAACCTAAATTTAGTAAATCTTCTCTGCCCACTTAAAACAATTACGTTTATGTTTCTTAAAACAATTTAGTTTAAGTTTAAAGTTGCAATAATGAGACTTTTTTAAATGATTAAGTTACAGTTAAATGATGTTAATGTGTAATAAATTGAAAAATATTTAAAGTGTTCTAAATGTAATTTACTATTTCAGCTTCTTCTAATTTCCCCTAGAAAGATGAATAGTGAAGAAATTAATAACAAACTTTTGCCACCTGGAGTGAATCCAATTTTAACTTTTCCTGTAGATAAATTAAGAGGTATATATTATTTTGTTTATGGTATTCTGAACTTGTTGTGTAACAAATCAAGTTGTTGATAATGTTTAATAGATAATGATTGTTTCATTTTTAGAATAAATGCCAAAAATAAATATGTAAAGATTGGTGAATATAAATCATTATTCTAATATACAGAAATATAGTAAAAGTTTTTTTCTTTTTCTTTCTAATAAAATAATACCATTTTACTGTGTTGAATGTCTTAGGGTGTTAGTGGAATTAAAGTATATTGTCATCACCTAAAAAAGGAGAGCTAAATTGTTAATGCAAATATTTTTTGTATTTCTAGTGCATGTGTATTTTTAGAATCCTTATTAAAATTAATAATAAAAAAGTATACACATGAAGATTAGCAAATAAATATATACCCCAAAATCTAAAAAATCACAAAGCAGTAAGGCAGATGCCATAAATGACAAGACTGATTTATAAAGTTGTTTAGAGTTGACCTCCCTAGCATATGTTAGTAGCTATTTTTTTTTTATTATTCTTGGAAATGTTATGAATAGTAAATAATAGAGAAGAATACAGTTTAACAAAATCAAAATAGCACAGACTGCAAAGAGATTGACCCTGCATAAAAGCTGAATTCTAAATTTTAAAATATTTTTTAAGTAGTGCATGTGAAGAGCATTTTTTAACACATTTATGAAAGAAATATGACACATTATGAAAGAAAATATAAGTGCGAAGATCCCCATCTAGATTGTAAAGGGGTTTTTTTTCTAAGTAAACTTTCACATATCTTTTTATGAAATGGTGATAGTCGGTACTGCTGTTAAAAGATTGGAGGAAAGTGATATTTTCATCCTAGTGATAATTCTTTTTTTATTAGGCTAAAACATAGTATGAATATCAATTTTTAAATACTTATTTGTGAAAAGTGTTGTGTAAAAAGGGAACTATTTTTGCATAGTTTTATTTTGCTTGTTTATCTAAGTTCAAATTTGAAAGCAGGATATCACTCTGGTTATAAATAAATTGTAGATTCCAACCCCCCTATCTAAATTCGTTCAACAAAGTTTACTACAATTTCTATCTTGAAAATTCATTAAATGATTTAAAATGATTTATAAAAATCTAAATGCATCATAATATATATATAACTTATGAAAAAATAAGTGAATTTTTTTTTTTGTAAAATAGTTTTGTGAGTTTACTTAAATTAAATATATTTTGTTTAGCTAAAGAAAGCAAACTAGGACAAGATCACTCATCGTTGCCAAGTTCATCTTCTTCTGAATCTATGGAATTTGAAGTTGAAACTTTTGGTATTGAAAAAGAAAACAGCCAAACTTTACCAGAAGAGAAGTTAAAATTTCAAAAATCCCAAATTGCTTTTTTCTCTGGTAACGCTTTATGATGTTGCATAGTTATTTTAATTAGTTTACATTTTTTTGATTGCTTGGTTTTATTGGTAATTAATAAATGTTTTGAGTCAGGATAGCATGTTTGACTTAAGAAAAAGGTAGTTTATGGAAATCTTCCTTCAATTTAATTTTGTAGTGTTCTTTTATGTGCTGTTATTTAATACCAAGATTTATTGATGTAAATCAATTGTTTTTTTAAATATCAATGATTAAAATAAAATGATTTTTCTTTTAAGAAATCATAAGTTTGAAAATTTTGCAACTGTTGAAATCTGATATATTTTTGTAGATTTTCACACTTAATAAAAATGTATTATAAATATATTGCTGTGTTACTAAATTTCAATTAGCAAAACTAATATAATCAATTGCAACACTTCTAAAAAGATATTTTAAAAATTTATTTATATCTTAGCTGCAAATGAAGACATAGGAAAATTTTATGCATTAATTGAAAATATATTTTTTTAAGTTTTGGAGAAAGGGGAGAAAGTTAGAATTTTTACTTAGTTTTTTAGTAGGTATTAATAATAACAACTTTCTATTCCACTTTTAATGAATATGAATCATGTATTTTGTATTACTATAAACCAGGGTTGGCAAGTTTTTGACACATGACGGTTTTTACCGGTTTATACCATGGTTTTTACCGTCATGTCAAAAACCCATCTGTCAAAAACCCATAGTTTTGGTAAAACTGTATTTTTATTTGAGTTTAACTGCTTATAATTTAAAATTAATTCATTTTTGGGCAATAAAATTAGAAAAAAAGTTGTTAAAAGATATTTAAGAACAGATTCTTGCATTTTCCCAACATGATTATATCAAAACATACTATTTGAAGTAAAATATTAGGATACTAAACAAAATTTTCAACATTTCCAAGCATCATTTTGTTTGGCATATTACATTACTGAAGAATGTCAAGTCATTCTTGACTTAGAGTTTGTTAGTAGTTACAAGTTTTGAAAGTTTTGTTTAGCTTATTTCTAATATTTAAGAAATGCCAAATTTTAAATTCTTCTTTTTAGTTCTTGAATTTATTAATAGTTCCAAGTTTTTTTGTTTGTTTGTTTATTTCTAACAATTAAGAAGTGCAAAATTTTGAATCCTTTGCAAATCAAGCTATAATGATAAAAGTTAAGTATCACTATTTTCAATAAGTATGTTACAATATTTCTGTATGAATGTATATCCTTCTATAAGAATGCGTGTATATAGTTGCAAAATCAATAGCAATCATTTACAACATTCATTTATAAAGGCAATTAAGTGAAAATAATATATTGTCTGCTATATGCCATAAATTAAAGAAATCAGTAGGTTTTTGACAGTTTTTACCGGTAAAAAAACGGTTTTTACCACTGTCATGTCAAAAACCAGTTTTTGATGGCAGAAACCCAACCCTGCTATAAACCAATTTTTAATACAGCAATATAATTTTCAATTTATCTTAAACTATAATAAAATTTAAATGAAGCTCTTGATTCTCAATTGAAGAATTGTCTAAAAAACTGAAAATTGCTTTTAAATTTTTTAGACAATTCTTCAATTGTATTTGAAAGAAATAAACTGCAAATTGGAATATCAGTGTTTGTATTTAAAATCATAAATTTTATATTTACATTGCTATAAAGTGTAGATTACTTTGGTTATTAGTAATTTTTATCTAAATTTTTATTACCATTGTTCATATGTTTAATCAACTAGCTGATATTGTCTTTTTTTGTTCATGTTTTCCTTGTTTTAAATCTGAATTATCTAATTGATTTCTTTACGTTAAAAATTAACTGTAAAGTTATTCCAATATATTATCATCATTATTCTGAGCTTGAGGTTTAATGGAATGGCTGAATAAAGTGTGGGTTCATAAAATTTAAAATGTTACAATTAATTTTGAGTTTTTTAAAATTTAATTATCATAATAAAATATTTCACCTTAAAAATATTATATTCAAAGTTGATTTGTAAATATAATGTTATCTTCCTATGCAGTTTTTACCAAGTAAAGAAAATTAGTGATAATATTTTCCAGCATAACAAATTATCAAATGCTGTTTGCTGGCGTTTAGTATTAACTTTTTATTCCCTTTTAACTCATTATAAAAAAATGCATTGTTTTGATTCCAATTATACAATTTAAATTTAATTGTTCATATAAAATTCATGCTTTTTATTAGCTTTCTTTATGTTCATATTACTGACTGTTAATTATGTATTTTTGTATAATTGTATTCAATTGTATTGTATCATAATCTATATTTTAGACCTGAAAATTAATATCTTCATTTAGTAGCCTATCCAGTGGCTGGTAGACTCTAATGACTTAGTAGCCACTTTTTCTTCAAACCTAATAAATCTGTGACTGATATCCATTGGTCTTTTTTATTGAAAAGGCACTTTTTGCAATTTTTTTTTACTTGGATAAAATTATGAGGAAGGCATTGGCTTACATTGGGCTGTCTGGCCAACTATGATGATGAAAATTGTGTTTTTCAAAAAAATTCATGATTGAAATAATCTATGACTATTAAAAGTTAATTTACTGCATTGTTCTTGATTTCTCTCTGTTTTACTTTTGCTGTAATGTATTTATAACATTAAATATATTTAAGTTTACTTTTTTTCCCTTTATAGGTGAAAAAAGTGATTGGCCAGCTGCTCTAAAATCTGAAAATGTGACCAGCCAATCGCTGATCAATAGTTCATCATCTTCCAGGTCTAAATTGCGTAGAAAAATTAAAAGAAGTGCTAAGCCCATGTCATCTAAAAAGAAGAAACAGCTGTCTCATAATATTTATAAGTTATCAGGTAACAATTTATTCTAGATCTTTTCTGCTTAGATATTTGAAGTAGTAGTGTAATATCTGATAATTTATTTTTTTGGAATGGAGACATTTAAGAACTATATTTCTATATTTTAGTTTTCACTGCATTTATTTTCTTTATTTCGCTGCTTTGTTTTTCTTATGGATGTAAATGGACAAATACTTGGTTGGTATTTATTTCACAACTTTTTTTGTCATGATGATAAATATAAGATCTTTTATGTCCTGAGTGAATTTTGAGAAAAAGGGTTTGTCTCTTGTGAGTATGCATCGAGTTAAATCTGAACCAAAATAATTCTTAATAAGATTTAAATGATCAGCTGTAGTTTGATGTGTAACTTTGATTGCACAGATGTAGGTCCCATATTGCATGGTCTATATCTATGTTTCATAAATAAACAGATTAATAAATGGATAAAGTGGTAGAGAATTTACAATCAACTTAACACAGTTCCTCTTTTTTCATTGTTGTGGCTTTAATTTGTCCTTCATATTCTGTATGTTTTCTTTTAATTGTTAAAACATCCTTTGAATTGTAATTTCCTAAACACGTTATTTTTTAATTTGAAACATATTTATTTTATGTTTTTTATTATTTAAATTTTATTTTAAATGTGCATTTACTTAAAAAAAAAAACTTTTTGTAACATAAATCAAAAATATTTTTTTTATTTTTTAATGTTAAGGAATTTTCTTTCAGAAGCCCATTTTTTAATCAATAAATTTCATTCCATTCCTTTGCTATTTTTGTTTCTGTTTATAAATGCTAATTTATAAGTTAATATGAGCGAAAATAGAAGTCAATTTCTAAAATAATATTTCTCCAAATAAAATAAGATCACTTAGAATATAGCAAATGAAACAGCTGTTACCAAAAAGGTTTTAGTTACAAAATTTTTTGCAACTTACTAGCATTTTTCATTTAAAGTAAATTATAATTAAACTTTTTATTCAATAAAAGTTTTCATAATTTAGTGATTCTGTATGTTTGCAGTAAAGTAAATCTTCTATTCTTTATGTGAACATAATTGTTTCATAATATTTGCTGTATGTTGTTAGCACGTTTTTTAAATTCTTTCACGTAAAACGAAAAATATGAATTCTATTCAGCTTTTAGTGATAATTGTTTTATCCTTGCTTTAGCAAAGTGCTATTTGAATTATTAAATCAGCATTGTGTTTATGAAAAAGAAGATTGTCTTGCTTATTAACATTGGAAAAGAGTACCTGATTAGGTTTTAAAAACAACTCATATAGAAATTTTAATTCTTTGTCAAATTTTTGCTAAATCAGTTGCCAATATATATATATTCCTTCANTAATCTTTAATTGCAGCTAAATTTTAGTTAGAAAGGACTTGACCAGGACCAGGATATTCTGACTCCCAAATACCCATACTTTTCAAAGTTTAGTGGAATCACAAGCTGTAAGCATATTTATTGGTGCCACTCTTCAGTCCTATGAACTGAAATCAATCTGTTCAATGCGAGCCGGGTGCGGAATTTGTACAGATTAGCTATCACTAGGATTCGAACCCGTTTCATCCTCATTGGAAGGCGAACGATGTATCCCCCAATGAAAGCATTGTTATTTTTATAATTATTGCGAAATGATCAAGTTATGATGCCAAGAATGGAAATTGTTGGATTTCAACATCTGCTTGTGTAAACAAAATTTGTTCTATTGTTGAATCTAAATTTCTTTGAGTTTGCATTTCCCTTTCTGTCAACATTTTAAAATAGTAGCCAAAGATAAATTAAGATTATTTTTTGAAAATAAAATATATCCTTGGACATAAAGTAAATAATGGGGAAATGTAAATTAAGTAGAGTTATTAATAACTTCAGAAGAAAGCTAGTAATTTATTATTCAATGATTTGTGTATATAGAAAGATATACAACATTAGCTGTTACTTTTTTATTGCTGTAAAAAATAACTTAATAAAATTAAAAAAAACATTTCCTTTCTTTTTTTTAGAAAAAAAAATCTAATTAGTGATTTTATTTATGAGCCATTATCATGGAAAAGTGCATTGTGAACTCAGAAACTATAGATTTTAAAAAATCCGGTAAGCAAAGCAAGACTGTCTTAATTGATCAAAAAATAAGTTCTATTTTTAATTTTTTTTTTAGAGTGGAACAAATAGATATCTTACTATATGACTCTTTATTATTTATTGGTTTTTTAGTTATAGTAAGTAAAGATGTTTCCTCCCATTTATTATAGAAAATGGCTTAGGAAATAACTGATTTAATTCATTACTGAACAATTGTATTATAATTTTGGTGAGTCATAAAATGCCAATTTATAATGTCAACTATTTTTATTCTTGTTTTTTTATTATTATTATTTATGATTTCAGCATGATTTATTCTAATGATCCATCAAACAATTTTTATGTGGAAGTAAAATCTTAATATTTTGGGGAAAAATAAAATTTGTTTAGTTTTCTTTTTATCTCAAATGAATGGATGACAATTTAAATCTCTTTAACAGTTTTTATCCCCTTCTTTTTAGGTAAGGAATTGGGACAACTTGTGCAGATTATACAATTGAGAGAGAATTGTTCAAATAAGAGCCCTCATGAAATTGAGATTGATCTTGAGAAACTTAAACCATCAACGCTAAGAGAATTAAAAAAATATGTTGCCTCACGTCTAAAGAAACAGCCACGTAGGTCTTTCAGTTATTAAAAATTTTCCATTGTTTTTCTGTAGTGCCATAGAAGGATTATATGAATTAAATATGGCTTTTTAGATATAAATAAGAATCCAGGTCAACCAAATTTTTTGCTTATTTTTTTGAATGTTGACACCAAGAGCTGTGATAGCTCAGGGGATAGAGCAATCGCCTTTCAATTACGTGAACCGGGTTCGAATTCCACCGATAGCTGGTCAATGTTAGTCCGCATCCGGCCTGCACCGACCACTATGATAACGTGAAATATCCTCAGTGGTAGACAGATCATGGGATAGAGTCCCTTTGCCGTTAGGCTAACCGTAGAAGGTTCTAGTGGTCTTCCTCTCCATGTAACGCAAATGTGGGTTAGTTCCATCCATAAAGTCCTCCTCAAAGGCAAACTTCTCCCAATACTTGAAGTTCACTTGTCTTCTGGATTGGGTTCATAATTACATGGCTACAGAGTTGAACATTAGTAGTCATAAACCCAAAAATCAGGTCGGCTTAGTAACTTCTAATGGTCGGGATTTACGTTTGTTTTTCTATCTTTTACAAGGTAATTTTTCAAATTCCAGTATTTTTAATATATTATTAGGTATGGGAAATTTGAGAATTGAGTAATAATTTTTTAATGTTCTATTTTATTTGTGACGATTCGGTCAGAGATGCTTATCCATGGACTAGCAAGTAGCAAACTGTTAATATAAAAGAAATCAAATGTTAATATGGAAGGAAGCAATATTAAAAATTATTAGTAATAGGCTTGGATTTTCGATCACTTTTTTGTTATCAGAGATTTTTCAAATTTCGGTATTTTTACTATGATATTATTAGGAGAAATGAATTTCAAATTTGAGTAGTTACTTGTTAATGTATTAAATTCAAAATGATTTCTTCATGTGTCCACCTCGTTTTACAAGCTTTTTTTTTTTTCTTTTCTTAAGAGCTCATCTACTTTTTATCTGGTTTTTTAATACAATAATTTGACTCACAAATATTGAATTTGAGTAATCATTTTTTGACTTACTCTATTTGCGATTAATTCATTGTTTATTCACATCATTTCTCGACCATTTTTTCAGCAGTTATTTTTCATTTTTACTCTTTTGCATGTACTCTTTTCCAACATTTTTATTATGAAGTTATTAAGAAGCTTGCATTTAAAGTTTGACTGCTTACTTTGTAATCTAAACATTCCGTCTAGCTTCATATTGCAGAGACAGTGTTTTAATTTTTTTAAAAAAGAGATGATTCCTTGTTGATAAGTAGTTATTTTTCAATACTGTCATGTTACATGTAACTAAAAAATTAAATTTCTCCTTTCTTCTTCATTTAATAATTTCAAAATAATAAATAATGCATTTGTTTCGTAAAAAATGTTACTTCTTAGATTCTCTTCCAGGGTACCATTTTGTCCCGCAAAACAATTTTTGAGCAAACTGCTCTAATTGTCTGGGTATTTCTCATTAAATATTTTTCATGTCCATCCAGGCATGTAAAGGTAAAAAAATATATGCCCTTGCCCAGTCAGAATTTCCTTGGACCTATTACGCAATATAATTTTTGAGCTGTGTATTCTACTATATTTATTCTTTTTTCATAATATATTATCTGTGCTTAAGATGCATTAAAGATTCATGTGATTTTATTCATTAATTCCTTGTTATTTTTAATTCATGTAGGCAGAGGTAAAGAGGGACGAGAAAGACATTACTATAAAGGTAACTTTTTTGCTACTTTGTTTTGATTAGAAATTGCTACATTACAATTGTACTATCATAAAAAACTTGATTGTTCGAGCTTTATTCATCTTCAAACATTTGTTAACAGATGTTCTTTTCTGACTTAATATGTTTTCATACTTTTTCTTTTAATAGAATGAAGTAATTTTATAAAATTTCCGGAGATTCTTTAAGTTCTGTTTAAAAATTGCTATTGTTTTCAGGTTAACTAAATTATTATAAAATAAATATAATTTTTTATCTCTATTTATATTTGTAACCATTGGTATTTTGCACGTCAAGACACATTATTTGTATGTATGCTTGAATTTTTTTTCCTCTGGGGGGGGGGCCGAAGTTAGTTGGGCCATCCCTGACTGAGTTCGTTATAATTTTCTTTCCTGGCTTTTTTTTAAAATTTTATCTGATATAGCTTATAGCATAGCTGGTAACAACCCCAGAATTTTCAGAGGATTTCCTCAAGTTCCATTGTTCTCCGTGCACTCTGCAAGGATATCAATTTTACGCGGAAAATAAACCTGACAGCTAATTTTCACACTTTTCCATCATCTATTTTGTCATTTCAAGTATTAATAATTAGATAAATCAAATTTCAAAAAAACTTTTTTTTTGTTTATTTGTTAGCCTGTTGTTTAGTAGTAAAATTTGATAAAATTCTATTCCTTTTACAATTAGTCTAGATCATGCATTTGCATGTATTATGTACTATAAAACAGTTTTAATGCAGTAAAGCTGTTAAAAATCTATTTTGAATTTCTTTGAACAGTATTTCGATTATATGGAAATTTGTAAAATTTAGCTAATTATAAATTTAAGTTTTTAAGGTGTCTTCGAAAATTTTTAAAAAAAAATCTGATTTAAATCAAAATTTGTTTTAAATCAAATGAATAATATTTTTTTAATTAAAAAAAAAAATTTTTTTTAATATCTTGAAATTTTTTTTCTTGATCTTGTTTGTCCTTAACTTGGTTTCTTACTGTCAGTTAAGTCAAGAGTTCGGTCATATCTACATCAGTCGACTCATTGTTGACGGTTGACAATTTATATTTTAGTGTCTAAATGAAAATCAAGAAAAATTTAAATTATCCCTCATAAAATTTAACTGTTAGCAATTGTTTTTTTTTTTTAAAAATATTTATGCAGAATTTTACTAACCTTGGATTATACCTGAATTTTGAATTGTACAAATTCAAGTTATTCTCGTTTGCTACATTCAATACTTTTATTTTCATTAAATCCCAACAAAATTTAAAGAGTCTTATTGTTTTCATAAAATTTACATTTTCCTGTGTAGAATTTTTTTTTTTTTAAATCATTCTTTAAAAATTACATTGAAATTTATGAAACTTTTCTTTTTAAATTTTATTCAACATTTTAATTTCTGATACTTTCTCATTGCAATAAAAAATTTATTTTGCAGGTTTAAAGAAGATGTTTTCACGCTGGTGTCACTGCTAATCCCAGAGCAAGAGTATATGGTAACAGTAAGAGAAGCTGCAGGTAACAGGAAGGTGTAAGAGAAAAGAAGACTCTGCCTCATTCATTGTACATTCGTTAATTATTGTTTGCTTAATCAAAATTGGCATAACCTAACTCAATAGAACAAAAATCTTGTTTAAAATTTTGAGACATTATCCAAATGACTGAATTGAATATTCTTTTACTTTTTTAATGTTTATTCATTTTAGAAGAAACTGAAGTCAGATTTTATGTGTTTATAAATTGCCTACTTTTCTACATTGATAAAATGTATTATTGACTTAAACTTATGCTCTGATTTAAAATCAATTGGACTCTGGGACCAATAATTAGCTCGACTGAGTTTTTAGGGGATCTGATTTTCTTTTATGACCAAATATTGAGAATTCTAACTTAATTTGGTAATTCAATTTTAAAATTATGCTAGTTTTAAATAAAAATGTTTGGTTTTTTTGTCAAAAATCAAATGCTAACCATATTTTGGATGTAAATGTGTATATAATATGAATGTATATAATCTATTAGAAAAACCATTCACTTAATAGTTTAACAGTTATTTATTTATTCTTTTTTTACTTTGTGTTATTTTTCTATTTTTTTAATTATGTATTAAAATTGTAATTAAATTTTGTAACCAATTCTTCATGTTTTGTATGTGATTTTTGATAATAAAATTTCATATTATTTACAATACAGTGTATCTTTTCTTATTTTTAACTAAAAGAGCCATGTCTTTTTAAGTTTAACATATTTTCAGTTATGTTTTTATCATTTGCTATTTTTATTAATATTTTTTGCTCTTATTGATGAATAAACTTTTTGAACTGAGTTACTGAAAGCATTAATAACAACCCCCTCAAGTCCTACAGACGAGGGGGTGGCATCATCGTGGCGAGGGGGTGGCACTGGACGGAGTGGGTAAAGTACGTCCGGAGTGTATACTAATCGTATGGCCACCCAAGACATGAAAGCCACTCCATTATGTCCAGCTAAAGTCTGTCTTCTACCCCTGGTGCTCCAGGTCTCTGACCATAGAAGCTGGCTCTTACCCCATCCATAAAAGAACAAACTGCCATTTCTCGTTTCCTCTGTGGACATCTGTCATCAATGACTTATAATGATGGTAATAAACACTTCGAAATCTGCACTAAGTGTTCTGCTGCCCAGGCCTCCCCTGACCACATTTTATCTTGTCTGGGACTTACCAGGCAGGGCCTGGTTCAAAATCCCCTGTTGGTGCTAGACTTTCTCAGAGTGAATGAGCTTATGGACCTGATCTAGTTCTGCTGGTCATGGGGATGAGAACAACAACAGCAATTATAACAAGGATATTAATTGAAGCTCATTGTTCTTGTCTAAAATTAACTTGTGGAAGGGTTAGTTAAGGACAAAGAAGATTCATCACAGAAAATTGCTTTAATGAAGCCATAATAACTTCAACAGAGACATCAATTTAAATTGTGTGTGTATTGAAAGGTAAAAAATTTCGAACTTAGATCAAAATGTGTCCTGTCATGGAAATATCATTTAAAAAAATATTTAATAAATAGAAGCAAACAAATAGAAAAAATTAAATATCCTTAAAACTAACTTAACTCCTAGTAAAAGTGCATAACTACTAGAAACAAATATAGGGAAACGTAAGTTATCGAATAGTTATTTTTTAGTAATTAGACACAAAATCTCTAAAAATTAACTATGAGAATAGAGTATGACAAATCACAGAAAATACCGCTGTGACTTAAGTCAGACAAGGTTTGAAATGGGATCAAAGTTGCAATTATGTTTCTCAGTGACTTGAGTCTCCGTAATGTATAGTTTGGATTACCAAGTAGTTGCAATAAATATTCATTGAGACTTTTTTGTGATATCACAAAATAAAGTATAATGTCAATGTCCTATTTTGACTAGTGGTTGACTGTGCCCACAAAAGACTTTTTCCCGTCCCTGGCGGTACGAGAAACAGCGTCCTAAACTTAATTTAGAAAAAGAAATATTAATAATTTTTTTTCTTCTTAAATTGGCATGCTGGCGAGTCACAATGCTGTAGAAAATTGCTTTTTATATTTTAAATTACAATATTTCTACCAGAAAAATTTAAAATCTATATCAACCATCAATGTCGGCTTGCACCGACCACAGTGCTGACGTCAAATATCCTCAGTGGCAGACGGATCATGGGTTAGAGTCCCCTTAGGCTATCCGTGGGAGGTTCTTGTCTTCCTCTCCATGTAACGCAAATGCGGGTTAGCTCCATCAAAAAGTCTTCCATGAAGGCAAATTTCTCCCAATACTCGATCCAGAAGTTCCCTTGCCTTCTGCATCGGGTTCAAAATTACAAGGCTATGGAGTTGAACATTAGTAGTCGTAAACCCAAAAAATTGGGTCGGCTGTTCAACGACGGTTATAAAATAAAATAAAATGTTAATTTAAGAAACATATGAACAAGATAAATAGCAATTTACGCATTCAAGAATGGGAATTTGTTTGTTTGATTAATGAGAATATCCCCTCAAGTATACTAGAATAACTATTTTTTATCGGTAATGTTTTTAATGACCATAATCTTTTACGGCATAAATATTAAAATTTATTTTTTCATGCTTTAGCAGATGCAAACAGTTTTAGATTCTTTGAAATTAACTATTTTTGCGGTTTCGTTTCTAATAAAAATTAGTAAATAAGTAATTTTGTCTCTTTGTAATTATATAGATGGTTGTAAACTTTGAGATGTATTAACAGTTTAGAACAATAATTCTCCATATTTTTTGTCCCATGCATTTCTTTCATCATTGTTATCAGAACACTTGTCCCAGTCTAAAATTCGAAAAAACAAATGCTACAGATTTCATTTTTAGATTATTTTCTCACAATTTTTAAAATGTAAGTAAACAATGTTATGAAAACGTCAATAAAAAAATAATCATAAACTGAAAGTAAAGACCTAATAACCTTAATAAGAAGCACGTAATTGTTTTAATTGAAAAGTTCAGTTAGCTTACCTGCACTAAAAAGAGACAGTTAAAGCAATCTGAAATAGAAAATTTCTCCTCTAAAATTAATGATATTTATTTCGATGTTTTAAAACGCTTGTTTTTAAATTTTATAACATATTAGCAGGCTACCAGCTGACCCGCTTTTTTAAGTAAGTAGAATTTCAAGTAGTACGAGATTTAAAAAGGTATTACGAGAATCGTGCAATCAAAAATTGAGACAATATGTAAGTATAATAAACTCATATTACTCTAGGGAGAATGGATTTAATATTAGTCTCTGTTAATTTCCTACATAATCTTATGGTATCGTAGTGAATGTTAATTAAAATATTCAGTAATACATATGCTAACATCAAAAAAATATAAATTTGCTAATCTCAAAGGTATAGTTTGATAATCAATCAGATTAGATACCCTGCCAAAATCAAACTACACTTATTTGCAATTATTCTTTGCAATTATTAGCCAATGAATTTCAAAGTTTTTTTTCCGCCAAAACGAAATGAACTTTATCGGTTATTAATTTCTTTTAGTTTAAGTAATACACGGACGTAAAACAGTAAAAAATACAATTTAAAGTAAAATATTTAGCTTAATGGCGCTGTTCAAGAACTGAAAGAAGCATAAACAAGTAAATTTTATTACCAAGTTACATTAAAAAATTAATATCAGTCTTTACACTTATCCGAATTGTTAATTAAAGTACATTATTAAATGAATTGGTAATTAAAATGGACTTAAATTGAATTAAAATGGAATTTGCTTGCCAACCAATTACATTTAATTATTTAAGCTTATGCGAAATATTTTTGCTATAGAAAATTTTTCTTTTCTTAATATTGGGACCCAGGAGTTGAGTCTTAAATGTGTGTAATCAATTATATTATTTATTTATGTACGCAAGGCCAAAAAAAAAAAAAAAAAAAAAAANGTACACTGCGCAAAATAAAAAACGAACCACCCTTAATAACTTTTGATCTAATAATCGGATCTTGTAAGTTCTAGGACTGAATCTTGATGGTTCAAGGGGGTGACTAGGTAACCTCAAATATGCTAATTAATTAGTGTAGACGATATTCATGTCAAAAACTGCATATCAAGCAAAAAATATTTTTATTAAATAATATAATAAAAATAATAAATGTTTACTAAAATATACTTTTTTGCATGAAATTATCTTTGGATAAAAGAAATTTTTAATTGTGTGCAAAATTTTTCATTTCGCTTAAAAAAGTTCTCGAGAAATGACGAAATATGCATAAAAAAACAAACATTTATGGACCAAATTTTGGACTATATTTACCAGATTGCAGCTACCACCTATATTTTTGGGATCACTTATCCGAATCCGTCGAAAAAAGATATATTTATTCAGAAAAAGTACGCGTTTGTGTTTCATTTCTGACCTTAAAATATCGTCTGCACTAATTAATTAGAATAGTTGAAGTAACCCCCATGAAATATTAAGATTGACTTCTAGAACGTGAAGATCCGATCATTATAATAAAAGTTATTCGGAATGGTCCATTTATTCATTTGTTTTGTGCACTGTACATAATTAAATATTATTGTAAAGGTATTTTGCATTCAATATGTCACAATTTTGTTAAAGATTATTTTAAAAAATGAAAAATTGTTTTCAAAGACTATTGTAACACAATTTGTAGGTTTGCAATCATTTTTATAAACTCATTCACTCGACCGGAAATAAATGCACTGCTGTTAATATATTTACTCGTTGTTAATAAAATAGGGGGACCGAAAAGTAATGTCGTTTCGGAGCATTAAATATTCGTTAGTTTTAAAAACCAATTAATCTTTTTTGACTTATTTTTGACCCGGCATTGAAAGGTTTTTGCTAACGAAGGCTATTGATTAAGATTTTATTTTCTAACATTATTGATTAGAAAATAAAATCTTAACAACACTTATCAAATGCACCGAAACGACATTACTTTCTGGTCCCCCTAATACTTATTCACTGATCTTAAAGCGAAATTTAAAGCAATTTCCCCCTCATCCCTTGTTTGCTGAATGAAATGAAATGTCGTTTGTAAAAAAAAAATACTAATTGGAAAATATGGAACTCAAATGGTAGAAAAATAGCTTTTCTGCTGCACACTTCCCTTTCCATAGATAGTAAAATTTTTACGTAAAGAACTCTCAATTAGAAAAATATAACCCAAAAATATATTTAATTAAAAAATAAAAATTAATAAATGTTTTTTTCAAACAAATAATATTTTTGAAAAAAAAAAATTATTATTTAGAAAACATTAAATCTAGGGTCCGTTCGGCGCCGCTGTAACTTGATGCTCCGGGCGATCGCCCACCTCCCACCTTGCCCCAAATTCTTTACACTGTGTTATTACTTTGTTTCTTTACTAAATTAACATTAAAAGTAGTTACCAAGAATCGCAACAAACTTCTCTGTTTTTCGTAACACTACTTTTTGAAAAACGTAGCACTCTACATAACTAATTACGGAAAAAAAAAAGTAGCGACTACAGTAGTTTCACTACTTGCAGTGAAACCCTTCATCCGGCCACTGATTTTGGGTTCATTGTGTGCCTCGCCAAAACTTCAGTTGTCAAGATGAGGGTAATTGCTTTCTGGTGCATTAGAGACATCCCATTGTCCACCCTCTAGAATGAGCTTGTCTTAATATTCTCTCGGCATGATATGAGACCTATAA